TACAAAATCAATTACTATATTTTTTAATCAAATTATTTTATAAATGTTTTTAATTAAATATTTAATAATAATGAATATTCAATTTAAACATCTACTTTTTACTTTACTATTATTATTTCTATTCATAATATATCTTTATAGTTTTTTTTTAAAATATAGTTTCCTAACATTTTGTTTATTCTAGAATAACAAATATTTTTTTTAAAAAAAGACACAAAAAAATATGAATAAGTGAGAGAATTGAATTCTATTAGATAATTAATTATTACGATTTCATATTTCTACTCGTATCAAAATATAAATTGAGGATAATTAATTGAGACCGTTGTTAGAATTTATTTAGATTTAATTAGATATTAATTTATATTTAGAAATATCTTTTAGATTGTTTATATCTTTGTTAGAAGATATAAATCTTAGACTTTTTTTATGTCTTTGTAGAAGATAAATTTTAGATTTAATTTTGTGTATAAATAGCCTAGTGGAGTAGGTTATTGTAAATTCATTGTAAATCTTTATTTTTGAAGCTGTCAGTAAATATTTCTTTTGCCTTTTATCTTCCTTGTGCACCAACAATTGGTATCTAGAGCTTCGGTTCGAAATCCACGGGAAAAGAAGTATTGTGATTAAGAATTACAATATTCTGATTCTGGGAGATTTGAGAAAACATTGATTTGAGAAATTTTGCGTAAATTGTATAAGGTAGAAGATGAACGGAAACGGTGGCGATATTCATTCCAAGCTTCCAGTATTTGATGGTAAAAACGGGAATCGTTGGAAGATCCAGATGCGCATGTTATTTGGCTCTCAAGATGTGTTAGAACTTGTTACTGATGGCTATAATTTGTTAGAAGCAGATGCAACAGAGGACCAGAAGATAGCACAGAAGGCGCTGAGGAAGAAAGATCAGAAAGCGTTGTTCTACATCCATCAATGTGTGGATGTGAATGTGTTTGAGAAGATTGTTGATTCTGAAACAACAAAGGTTGCGTAGGACACACTGGTCAGATGTTACGGTGGTGACGCATCAGTGAAGAACGTGAAGCTTCAGTCTCTCAGAAAGAAATATGAGAATCTCAACATGAAGGACAACGAGAAGGTTTCTGAATAAATATCTAGAGTGATTCTGATCACTAATGAGATGAAAGCTTGTGGAGAAACTCTGTATGAACAAGTAATTATTGAGAAGATCTTGAGATCTTTAACTTCTCAGTTTGATTACATTGTGGTAGCAATTGAACATTTTAAAGATTTGAGCACCATGAGAGTTGAAGAGCTGCAAAGTAGTCTAGAAGCGCATGAGTTACATATGACTGCAAGAACTTCTGAGAGGGAAGTAGAGCAGCAGGCTCTGAAAGTAACTTCTGGTAAGAAGCATCAGAAGCAGACTTGGTCAGAAACCAGGAAGAAAACTAATGGTGGGCAAAGGTCAGAAGCTTCAAACTCTGATAGGCAGAAGAATGTCCAGAGGGGAAAGGAGAAGTCTGACAAGAAGAATGTTCAGTGTTACTGTTGCAGGAAATTTGATCATTATGCCAAAGATTGGTGGTCAAACAAAGAAAGGAAGTCAGAAGAAGCAAATGTAGTCAGAGGAGATTCAAATGATAAACATGTGCTATTTATGGCTTATGAATCTGATGAGGAACCAGTGAAATTGTCATTTTCTAATTCTGAAGGGGAAGAAGAATATGACTCTGAATATTCTGATTCTGAAGGAGTGATTGTGTATGAGTCAGAATCAAAATATGACTCTGAGTTAGAATCAGATGACACTGAAGATTTTGAAGATGACTCAGAACCTGAGATTTTTGAACACGAGTCAGAATCAGAAGATGATGCTGAAGATTTTGAAGATGAGTCACAATCCGAGGTTTCTGAAGACGAGTTAGAGTCAGATGATGACTCTGGAAACTCTGAAGGTGATTCAGATGGTGAATCTGATTCTGATCCAGATTTTGATGATGATCCAGAATTTGGTGGTGATCATGCTTCTAGAAGGGAAAACTCTAAAGACATAGGTTCTGGAGGATAAACTTCTAAAGATGATCATGTTTCTGGTAGAAATCATGATTCTGAAAGTGGAACTTCTGAAGGAGGAGATTTTGAAGGAAATTCAGCCTTTGACAATGATCATGATTCTCAAAGTGGAACTTCTAAAGGCAGAGGTGATCCAAATTTTGAAGATGGTATTTCTGAAGGTAGTGGCTCTGACTTTGATGATGATTCAGACCCTGGGAATTTTCAAGACTCTGAAGAGAATCAAGGTTCTGGAGAAAGTCAAAACTCTGAAGCAAGACCTTCTGAAGGGGGAAGTTCTGGTGTCTAAGGTTCTGAAGGTCCAGTTCAGAGGCAATAAAGAGTCAGAAGCATCCCAAGAAGATTTGCAGAGTTTGATATGTTGCAAGACACTGAAGTAGACTCTGAAGGAGAAGTTATTCAGTGTGCAATGTTAGTAGACTCTGAACCCGTGAGTACTAAAGAGGCTCTTAAGCAGCAAGTTTGTTTACAGGCCATGAAAGAAGAACTTGATGCTATAGAGAGAAACAAGACTTGGAAGCTGACAGAAATTCCAAAAGGCAAGAAATCCATCAGCTCAGATGGGTTTTCAAGCAGAAGATAAATCCAGATGGATCAATTGGCAAACACAAAGCGAGATTAGTAGCAAGAGGCTTTCTACAGAAGCCTGGGATGGATTACTTTGAAGTGTTTGCACATGTGGCGAGACATGAAACAATCAGACTAGTGATTGCAATAGCTGCTAATAGGAATTGGCCTCTGATGCATTTAGATGTAAAATATGCATTTCTGAATGGTACATTACAAGAAGAGGTGTATGTCTCACAACCTCCTAGATTTGAGAAAAAAACCAGGAAGGGATGGTGCTCAAATTACACAAACATTGTATGGATTGAAGCAAGCGGCCAGAGCTTGGAATTTGAAAATTGATTCGTTTTTTAAGGAACAAGGGTTTCAAAAATGTGAGATGGAGTATGGTATTTATGTTCAGCACACTTCAGAAGATAATATGATTCTGGTCTGTTTGTACGTTGATGACATACTACTTACAGGAAGTTCTGAACAAGAGATAGTTGAGTTCAAGAAAGTTCTGATGAATGCATTTGAGATAACAGATCTTGGAAAATGAGTTTCTTTCAAGGGATAGAATTTATGTACTCTGAGAAAGGAATCATTTTATATCAGATGAAGTATGAACTAGAGCTTCTGAAGAGATTTAAGCTAGAAAATTGCAAGATTGCTATCACACCTGCTGATACGAATCAAAAGTTGGATTCTGATTCTGATAGAAAGGATGTGAATGTTACAACCTTCAAACAGATGGTTGGTTCTCTAAGGTATTTGTGTAATACCAGAACTGATATTTTCTATGCAGTTGGAATGGTTAGTAGATTTATGAGCAAACTAAAGTGGTCTCATTACCAAGCTGCAGTCAGGATTCTGAGGTATGTGAAGGGAACTCTGAAATATGGAGTGTTATTTCTGTCTGGAAGAAAGATTGAATCAGAACTTATGAGTTATTTTGATTCTGATTAGTGTAGAGATAGAGTTGACAGAAGAAGTACTTCTAGATACTTATTAAAATTTATGGGAGGTCCTATTTCTTGGTGTTCCAAGAAGCAACCTGTTGTTGCTCTGTCAACCTGTGAAGCTGAATATATTGCAGGTGCTTTGACTGCATGTCAAGCTGTGTGGATTCTGAACTTGCTAAAAGATCTGAAGATTGAGGTAAATAAACCTCTGAAGCTGATGATTGATAACAAGTCTGCAATCAATCTTGCCAAGAATCCAGTGTTGCATAGGAGAAGCAATCATATTGAGACCAAGTATCATTTTCTGAAGAATCAAGTTCAGAATGGAATAATAGAGGTTGTGCAATGTAGCACCTAGAAGCAGCTGACAGATGTTCTGACAAAGGCTATCAAAACTGATCAATTTCTTGGATTTAGGGATGAAATTGACGTTGTCAGTTTTGGGTAAATATAAATTAAGGGATGGTGTTAGAATTTATTTAGATTTAATTAGATATTAATTTATATTTAGAAATATCTTTTAGATTGTTTATATCTTTGTTAGAAAATATAAATCTTAGATCTTATATCTTTGTAGAAGATATATTTTAGATTTAATTTTGTGTATAAATAGCCTAGTGGAGTAGATTATTGTAAATTCATTGTAAATCCTTATTTTCGAAGTTGTCAGTAAATATTCATTTTACCTTTTATCTTCCTTGTGCACCAACAACTGACACATGTCATATTAATTAAAATTACAATTATATATATGATTAATATCGTTTACAAAAATGAAATATTTTTTTTGACAAAAATGAAATAGACAGTTAAAGTAAAAGACAATTCTTTTGACAAAAATCAAATAGACATTTTTTTTTGACAAAAATGAAATAGACACTTAAAGTAAAAAAGAGTATCACTATTTGAGTTGGTCGTTTATCTTCGTTTTTTTTTTTTATATTTTAAAATGACTTTTCTTTTATTTGTGATAATAACAAACAACCAATAAATTTAGTTATTTATATTAATATCATTTTTTATAATATTTTAAATTCTTACTTATTTTATTTATCTTTTTTCTCTATTATTGATATATTTATAATTAGTGATACATTGAATTTTAAAAATATTTAGTATTTAAGAAAAAAAAGTATACCTTTTTTTTTTGTTGCATAGTTTGCAATTTTTATTATTTTTAACTATTATATAATTAGTATTATATATTATTGTTATTATCGTTAAAACATTTCAAATCCAATGCATTCATCAATAGCAAGTCTAACGTATTGATTTTTCTTTTAGAATAGTCAAATGTATTATATTATTAATAAATAATAAAACATATTTCTTTAGATTTTAGAGTCAAATGAGTTACCCTTAAATACACTTTATTTTCTCTCTTTTTTCTAACTACACAAAATTGAGTTCACCTCAAAGAGAATATTCATCCATTTGCTAAAATTCTCAAACATGAAGGACACTATAGTTCTTTATCCTGCTCTAGGTAGTGGACACTTAATGTCTATGGTTGAATTAGGCAAACTCATAGTAACTCATCACCCTTCATTTTCCATCACAATTCTTATTCTTACACCACCCAACAAAAACACCAACAACAAAGACATCAGTCTTTCTCCCCAAGAACACTACATAGCATCAGTTTCAGCCACATTTCCTTCCATCAATTTTCATTATATTCCTCCAATTTCACTCCCTACAAAACTTCTAACACATTTTATTACCTTTGAAATCTCTCCAGAAAGCAATCATCATGTTGACAACATTCTTCAATCCATTTCCAAAACCACAAACCTCAAAGTTATTATATTATATTTCTTCACCTATAGTGCCTATCAAATAACCAGAAAACTTGAAATCTCCACTTACTTTTACTACACTTTAGGTGCAATTGCATTAGCCATTTTCCTCTATTTTTCAACACTTCACCAAAATGCTAAGAAACGTATTCAGGATCTTCACATGCCAATTTGAATTCCCGGTTTGCCAAAGAATTTTACAACAGATGATTACCCAGATGAATTGGATTCTGAGAGTGACGAATTGAAGATTTTGCTTGAATATGCAAAAACCATGACAAAAAGTGTTGGAATTACTGTTAACACTTTTGATGCTATTGAAGGAAAAACACTTGAATCTTTAAATAATGGATTGTTTGTTCCTAATGGAACTACTCCTACAATTTTCTCTATTCGACCTCTGATTACATCTTCTTATGGTGGAGATGAAAATGGGTGTCTGCGTTGGCTCGACTTGCAACCGAGTAAAAGTGTCGTGTTGTTAAATTTTGGAAGCATCGGGATATTTTCTAAGACTCAATTGAAAGAGATAGCACTTGGTTTGGAAAAAAGTGAGCAAATACTCTTATGGATTGTTAGAAGTGAATTGGACTCGAAAGAGCTCAATTTAGAAGACTTGTTACCATAAGGGTTTTGGGAGAGGACAAAGGAAAATGGAATGGTGGTAAGAAATTGGGTTCTACAAAGTGCAATATTGAGTCATGATTCAATTGGTGGGTTCGTGACTCACTGTGGATGGAACTCGGTCTTGGAAGCAGTTTGTGAAGGTGTGCCTATGGTGGCGTGGCCTCTGTATGCTGAACAAAGTCTGAACAAAGTGATTTTGGTTGAAGAAATGAAGGTGGCTTTGGAACTGAACAAGTCAAAAGATGGGTTTGTGAGTGAAATTGAATTAGGAGACCTAATTAAAGAATTGATGGTTTCATATAAAGGAAACGAGATTAGACAAATGATTTTCAAGACGAAAATAAGTTCTAAGAAAGTAAAAGATCAAAATGGAAGTTCATTTGTTGATTTAACCAAGTTGATTCAATTGGTTAAGCAAAAAGAAACAACATCATCTAGTTGATTGATTAATCTTTGTTTTTTGTGTGATAAACGTATTATTGGCTAAAATAAGACCAATCTCGTTAGAATACTCACAAGTTGTTTTTATTACATTAATAATAATAAAATGGTACAAAAGTTGTGATTAAAATATCTTTTAAATTTACAAATTTTTAGTGACTTTATTCTTTCATTTTATTTTTATTTAAGAATTTGTAATTTAATTATTGTGTTTAGAAAATTTGTCAATTTAGGTAATAGTAATAAAGGTTTCTATAAACCATGTATATTACAAGAAATGCTCTCAAAGGAGAGCTAAAAGGAATTTTGTCTTGGGTTTGGGGTTTTCCCCTTACTACATGGTGATTACATTACCCGTGATCAAACAGATAAGTGTGGATTCAATCATGGTGAGTTAAACTTTGTATGACCAAGATAGAACTTTAAAATTCATAAGGAAAACTTTTGGCTTCATGGTGTATATGGTTATCAAGTTCATCAACTGAAACTATTGTGCACAGAGGAGAACGAGAAAGACACGGAGGAGATAGATAAGGATGGGTGCACGTAAGTGAGACCACGAAGGAGAAAAACACGTCAATCAGATTCTCAAAAACGCGTTATAGAAGATCACTAATGATAGACATAACTTTAAGATGTAGTGACTATTTCTATGCATGAAAGAATCACTAATACCACCTTAAAATCTTTCTATTTTTTTAATGTCTTTAATGATATTAACCATGATGAACATATGGGTGGATTTATTTTTTGTGGATCACTTATTGACTTTAATCTTGAAAAAGAATAGAATAATAAAGATCAAGAGGTTTAGGTTTGTGAGTTTTGATAGTGAAAGATGAAGTTTAGATAATACAAGCCTGCAACAATTTTTTGGTTTAGACATATAAAATTTAGATGAATAAAGTAGTGTTTTGGACGTATAAGAATAGTACGATTAATTTTTAAAAACATAATAAACTAATTTTTTAAATTTTTTTTACGTGTTCTTTCTATCACATTTATTTAATGTACAAAAGAACAATGAATTTGGATAAAAACTTAACGTTATTTAAAAGAGTATTTTAATATTTAATTTACCAAATAATTATGATCCAATATTTTTATTATATTTTGAAAATTTAGTATTATGTTTAAAAGAAAAAATTATTTAAATAATTAACATTAAATGTTGTATACATAACATTGAATATCTATTTTGTTTTAGACTGAGTACCGATATTCAACGGGTTTTCTAAAAACATATGTTCATTTAAAAAAAAAATCTCATACTTTAATTTGAATATGAAACAAACACAACTTAATGGATATAGTTTAATAATATAAAATAATTTGAAATTTATATAAAAAGTTAAAAAGTTTCAGCATACTATTTAAATTCTTAACAAGAAAATTCAAATCATTTTAATAAAAATTATCTAGTCACTTCTTCAAGACTCAACATTTGTTGTTGGTAATATATTTGAACTTTTAAATAAATCAACTAACATGCAAATGGGTGAGATTTTAAAAAATAGAACATTTTACTAATCAAGGTAAATTAATAACTATTTTACGAACGTTCGTAAAAAAAATGTCAAAAAAATGACATTTCCAATATACCAACTCATTAAAAAAATCTGAATCAATCTTCATAAAAATGTAAACCTTTGTTAAAATATATATAAAATATTGTAAAGTTATTTATGTTTCTTCTTTAAACATCTAATAATAATTTTTCAGAATTGTTTACACATTAGTTATAAAATATCAAAATTTAATTGTATTTTTATGAAATATGATTTTCATTTTATAATAATAATGATTTGTTTTTCAACTTTATAGATTAAACTATTATTATCAAATTATTGTCTTGAAAAATATTATAAAATCAATTACTATATTATTTTAATCAAATTATTTTATAAAAAAATCTAATTAAAATATTTAATAATAATGAATATTCAATTTAAACATCTACTTTTTACTTTACTAGTATTATTTATATTCATAATATATCTTTATAGTTTTTTTTTTAAATATAGTTTCCTAACATTTTGTTTTATTCTAAAATAATAAACATTTTTTTAAAAAAAAGAAACATATAAAAAATATCGATAAGTGAGAGAATTTAATTCTATTAGATAATTATTTATTACGATTTAATATTTTTACTAATATCCAAATATAAATTGAGTATAGTTAATTGAGACCGACAAAGGTAGTATTAATTAAAATTACAATTCTATATATAATTAATATCGTTTACAAAAATGAAATACATTTTTTTTTGACAAAAATGAAATAGACAGTGAAAGTAAAAGATATTTTTTTGACAAAAATGAAATAGATATTATTTTTTTATAAAAATGAAATATACAGTTAAAGTAAAAGAGAGTATCATTATTTAAGTTGATCGATTATCTTCTTTTTTTTTAAATCTTAAAATGACTTTTCTTTTATTTGTGATAGTAACAAAAAACCAATAAATTTGGTTATTTATATTAATATTATTTTTTATAATATTTTTAATTCTTTCTTATTCTATTTTATCTTTTTTCCTCTATTATTGATATATTTATAATTAATGATGCACTGAATTTTAAAAATGTTTAGTAATTAAGAAAAAAAAGTATACTTTTTATTATTGTATAGTTTGCAATTTTTATTATTTTTTACTATTATATAATTATTACTATATATTATTGTTATTATCAGTAAAAACATTCCAAAACCAACGCATTCATTAATAGCAAGTCTAACGTATTGATTTTTCTTTTAGAATAGTCAAATATATTATATTAATAATAAATAATAAAACATATTTCTTTAGATTTTAGAGTCAAATGAGTTACTCTTAAATGCACTTTGTTTTCTCTTTTTTTTCTAACTACACAAAATTGAGTTCACCACAAAAAGAATATTCATCCATTTGCTAAAATTCTCAAACATGAAGGACATTATAGTTCTTTATCCTGTTCTAGGTAGTGGACACTTAATGTCTATCGTTAAATTAGGCAAACTCATAGTAACTCAGCACCCTTCATTTTCCATCACAATTCTCATTCTTACACCATCCAATAAAAACACAAACAACAAAGACACCACTCTTTCTCCCCAAAAACACTACATAGCATCAGTTTCAGCCACATTTCCTTCAATCAATTTTCATTATATTCCTCCAATTTCACTCCCTACAACACTTCTAACACATCTTATTACGTTTGAAATCCCTCCACAAAGCTACCATCATATTGACAACATTCTTCAATTCATTTCCAAAATCACAAACCTCAAAGTTGTTATATTAGATTTCTTCACCTACAGTGCCTATCAAATAGCCACAAAACTTGAAATTTCCACTTACTTTTACTATACTTCATGTGCAATTGCATTAGCCACTTTCCTCTATTTGCCAACACTTCACCAAAACGCTAAAGAAACAAATTCAGGATCTTCACATGCCACTTCGAATTCCCGGTTTGCCAAAGAATCTTACAACATATGATTACCCAGATGAATTGGATTCTGAGAGTGACGAATTCAAGATTTTGCTTGAATCTTCAAAAACTATGACAAAAAATATTGGAATTATTGTGAACGCTTTTGATGCTATTGAACGAAAAGCAGTTGAATCTTTAAATAAATGATTGTTTGTTCCTAATGGAACTACTCCTACAATTTTCTCTATTGGACCTCTGATTACATCTTCTTATGGTGGAGATGAAAATGGGTGTCTGCGTTGACTCGACTTGCAACCGAGTAAGAGTGTCGTGTTGTTAAGTTTTGGAAGCATGGGAAGATTTTCTAAGGCTCGATTGAAAGAGATAACACTTGGTTTAGAAAAAAGTGACCAAAGATTCTTGTGGATTGTTATAAGTGAATTGGACTTGGAAGAGCTCAATTTGGAAGGCTTATTACCAGAAGGGTTTTTGGAGAGGACAAAGTAAAATGAAATGGTGGTAAGAAATTGGGCTCCCTAAGGTGCAATATTGAGTCATGATTCAATTGGTGGATTCGTGACTCACTGTGGATGGAACTCGGTGTTGGAAGCAGTTTGTGAAGGTGTGCCTATGGTGGCATGGCCTTTGTATGCTGAACAAAGTGATTTTGGTTGAAGAAATGAAGGTGGCTTTGGAACTGAACAAGCCAAAAGATGGGTTTGTGAGTGGAATTGAATTAGGAGACCGAATTAAGAAATTGATGGACTCATATAAAGGAAACGAGATTAGACAAATGATTTTCAAGACGGAAATAAGTTCTAAGGAAGCAAGAGATCAAAATGGAAGTTCATTTGTTGATTTAACCAAGTTGATTCAATTGTTCAAGTAAAAAGAAACAACATCATCTAGTTGATTGATTAATCTTTATTTTTTTTTGTGATAAATATATTGCTGGCTAAAATAAGACCAATCTTGTTAGAATACTCACAAGTTGTTTTATTACAATAATAATAATAATAAAATGGTACAAAAGTTGTGATTAAAATGTCTTTTAAATTTACAGATTTTTACTGACTTTATTCTTTCATTTTATTTTTTATTTAAGAATTTGTAATTTAATTATTGTGTTAAGAAAATTTGTCAATTTAGATAATAGTAACAAAGGTTTCTATAAAACATGTATAGTACAAGAAATGCTCTCAAAGGAGAGATAAAAAAATTTGTGTCTTATGTTTGGGGTTTTCCCCTTACTACCTGGTGGTTACATTACCCATGATCAAATAGATGAGTGTGGATTCAATCATGGCTAGTTAAACTTCGTATGGCCAAGATAAAACTTTAAAATTCATAAGAAAAACTTTTGGTTTCATGGTGTATATTGTTATCAAGTGCATTAACTGAAACTATTGTACATAGAGGAGAATGAGAAAGACTTACGGGAGATAGATAATCATGGGTGCACATAAGTGAGACCACGAAGGAGAAAAACACATCAATCAGATTCTCAAAGACGCATTATAGACGACCACTAATGATAGACATAACTTTAAGATGTAGTGACTATTTCTATGCATGAAAGGATCACTAATACCACCGTAAAATCTTTCTATTTTTTAATGTCCTTAATGATATTAACCATGATGAACATATGGGTGGATTTATTGTTTGTGGATCACTTATTAACTTTAATCTTGAAAAAGAATAGAATAATTTAGATAAGAGGTTTAGGTTTGTGAGTTTTGATAGTGAAAAATGAAGTTTAGATAATGCAAGCCTGTAACAATTTTTTGTTTTAGACATATAAAATTTAAGTGAATAAAGTAGTGTTTTGGACATATAAGAATGGTACGACTATTTTTTAAAAATATAATAAACTAATTTTTTAAATTGTTTGTGCATGTTCTTTCTATCACATTTATTTAATATACAAAAGAACAATGAATTTTGATGGGAACTTGGTGCTGTTTAAAAGAATATTTTAATATTTAATTACTAAATATTTATAATCTAATATTTTTATTATATTTAAAAATTTAATATTATGTTTAAAATAAAGAATTATTTAAAATAATTAAAATTAAATGTTGTATACAAAACATTGAATGCCTAGTTTGTTTTACACTGAGTACAAATATTTAACGGATTTTCTAAAATCAAATGTTTATTTAAAAAATCTCATACTTTAATTTGAATATGAAACAAACACAACTTAATGGATATAGTTTGATAATATAAAATAATTTGAAATTTATGTTAAAATTTTAAAATTTTCATCATACTATTTAAATTCTTAACAAAAAAATTCAAACATTTTAATAAAAATTTAAACATTAGTTCTCCGTGTTTTTGGAATCTAGTCACTTCTTCAATACCCAACATTTGTTGTTGGTAATATATTTGAACTTTTAAACAAATCAGCTAACATGCAAAGGGGTGAGATTTTAAAACTTAGATAATTTTACTAATTAAAGTAAATTAATAACTATTTTACAAACGTTCTTAAAAAATCTCAAAAAATGACATTTCCAATGTACCAACTCATTAAAAAAATCTGAATCAATCTTCGTAAAAATGTAAACTTTTGTTAAAATATATAAAACTCTAAACTAGACGACAATACCCGTAATACATCGTAACATAGTTACCCTTAAACTCTGATAAACAAAATAGAAAGCTGGAAAGTGAGATTTCAACCACTAGAAAGACTGAAGTTTAACCTTTTCACATATAGACATCAACAACAAACTCTTATTCTGAAAAACCCGTTGATTCCACATTTTCTAAATTACCCACAGTGCAGCAACCCAAATAATATGAAAGACATATCAACTTGATTTTGACCAACCATCCAAAACTACAAATTGATCATGATGATCCCTACAACGATCCTGAAGAGCCGTCGAAAGCCATAACCAATCAGACAACATCGACCATATTTTACCATAATTATCACATTGAACAAACAAATGATCGTGTGTCTCGTTCTGACCACATGCAGTTGGGCAAGTTTGCGCCTCTTCTATAATAATATTTCTCCTAGCCAAGTTATCCTTCGTCGATAGTCTATTGCGATATAATCACCAAACAAATAAATTAACCTTAAGAGGCACCGCTTGTGACCACCAAACCTGATAATCACCTAGATATTGAGCATCCACCGTCTTTGTTAAGAACTGATAAGCACTTCTTACATTATAACAATTTGAAGAATTGAGTCTCCAAACCCAAGAATCATCAACAGTGTCCCGCAAAACAACAAAATCTAACAAAAAATACACTCCCCCACCAACTCCTCCTCCCATGCAAACAACCTCCTACGCCAACTCCAAGCCTCTCTATCCACCCCCACCCTAAAGAGAACTTCTTTGTTATAGTAGCATCCTTATACTCAAATAACTCATAAAGCCTACTGAATCTAGTCATTAACACCCCTCCTTCCAACCAAGGATCCCTTCAGAATAGAGAGTTTACCTCATTACCTACTGAACGCTCAATATTATTGAGCAACCACCCACTTTTGAATAATCCATTCCCCTGTCTAATGCTATTCACATTCTTCCACCACACAGACCCTCCAACTACCCCATACCTCAACCACCCCCTTCCTCCTCACAACGATGAACTAACACCATATATCAAAGACTTCCCCTCTCCTTCAACATCCTCAAACACCATTTCCCTAATAAAACAACATTAAACTCCCTTAACCTTCTCACCTTCACCCACCATTCTCCTTACTCAAACATATTATATCCCAATCAATCCACACTATTTTCCTCTTTTCCTCTGTACCTCTCCAAAAGAAAGCATTAAATAAAGACTAAAGATAAGAAATGATACATGCATGAGCCTTGAAAAAATAAAGGAAGTAAACTGGACTAGAGGATATAACAGACTTCGACAGAATCAAATGATCACGTAACGAAAGATTGCAGAATCTCCACCCTGATAACCTATTTCTGATGGTTTCCAACATCAGATATCAAAAATTAAGCTTTAGCGGATCACCCCCAATAGGCAGCCCCGGATATACAAACAATACTTCCCAACTTACAATTTAACACCATAGCCGCCTCTTTCAGCCAAGAATTAGAAGTATTGACACCTACCAACATACTCTTATGAAAGCTCTAAAAGCCTACTGAATGGCTCTCCTACACGAACTCTAGATGTGTAAATGGCTTTCCTACATCATTTCCCACTCTATACTCTGTGTGCATGCCTTCCTGAATCTTTTTGTCGCATGTCATATCGCAAATTTGCTCGTCCTATTTCTAGCATTCAAATGACTTTCAAACTTGGTGGTTATAAATTTCTCTGGTTTATTTACACTAATATTTTGGGAGTTTCTAGTTGTTTAACTTTAAAAATATATAATAATTTATTTTAAATTATTTGTATTTTTAAATAGCAAATATTTTCCACTTTCATATACTTTTAATTACCTTTATATTTTGAATAAATTAGATAACACAATTGGTAAGGAGGTGAGACTTGAAAATATATGGTCATGTGTTTGAATTCCACCTTCCTAACTTTTTGCGTTTTGTTCTATTTTATTTTTAGCGTTCTTTACATTTTTTATATTATTCTAAACAAATCATAAAAAGTATTTTTTTATTTATTTAAATAGTATTTTTCATTTTCCTATATTTTGTATATTTAAAATATTATTTTTATTTAAATCATTATTTTATGTAAAAAATAGCCAAAAAATTTATAAATTTTTTTTTGAATCGTATCATGTAATGAGTCACAAATAAGACCAGATTCTTAAACTTGTTAACTAAGATAGAAGTTTTGAACTTTTTACTGTTTGGATAATATCCTAATTTAACAATTTGATGCAATTTCTCACATTATAAATACATTATAAATAGGTCTCTTTACCTTCATAAAAAGACACCTACAAATCAACTATTTCACTATTTCACTTTTACAAAATATATTTACAATTTCTTTTCAAAGTTTCTACTTGATTTTTGTTTTGACCGATATTTTTCATATAAAGCCCCTTCCTTTATTTTCAACCCCTTTTAATTTTAATTTATTTGTTATTAAAACCATTTGATAACTCCTAATGATTGTTTTTTATTTAAAAATTATATTTTTTTAATCCACAAATAAATAATTCACATTCATTTTACACGCACAGTAAAATTCACACAATAGCGCGCACACATATATATATATATATATATATATATATATATATATATATATACTTATATCTTTACTTAGGTTTTACTAAATTTTACTATTTGTTTTCTACCAACTTCAAAATCTCTTTATGCATTGAATCAAAACAACATCCGTTGTCAATTTTTTTTCTAAACCAAACACATACTTCTTATGAAGATTTCCAGCAACGTATACAATTTCCTATCGCACAAACACACAAAACCCTTATTTTGTTTTTACTTAAGTAAAACCGGAAAAATCTCTATTCAAATTCTTCTTCACTGTTTCTTTTTGTTATAGAAAAAGCATTTCTTTGCAAGTCCACAAACTAACAACTTCGAACAACGCAATTTTGGTACAATAATATCCTGTGGGCGAATTTGTGCACAACTTTGATTCAAACACAAGCATAAACAAAAAAAGTACAACGATCTGTAACGGTGTTATAGCTAAAAAAAATAAAACACCATAAACTCACAATTGTGCATAGTTTTTTTTTGTGTGTGCAGAAAACAGAGGGAAAAGAAGCAGAGGAATACACTGCCGGTGAACAACGCGCCACCGCACATCGAGCACCACCGCTCATCAACCACCCGGACTCGCAAAAATGCTACGATTAGTGTTCAGATCGGTGGCCATCACAGAGCGTGCCGACCGACCTGCAATCGCCAACCACGACTACCCCCGGTTGCGACCCGACTGTCCGACCACAAATTCGCGCAATAATCAACCAGAGACATCCCCACCGACGCTTCAGCCCTTGACAACACACGACTCCGCCGCCCGGTTACCATCACCGACTTGTATTTTGTTATTCCTTTTTGATTTTTGTGATTGACATGCTTATGAGTTGTTGAGTTTGCTGCTTGATTTGAGGTGCCCCTTGGAGCCCAACCCAATTAGCCAAGTTGGAATATATATACACTACTAATATTTATAATCCCTCCTATGTGGGACTAAAAATAAATATTTTCAAAATCCCTTCCATACTAGTTCTTACTTGTGCTCATTTATTGCCCATTTAATTTCAATAAAACATTCCAACTCCCACTCCAAGTTTACATCATACCAAGATTTCCAACAACCCCTCACTTGAATTTAAAAAGTGATTTTAGAAGTACGTCAAACGTTTCTAAGATTGTGTATAAGCAAAGGTGTCTACGACTTAAACCTTTGCGTAGCAAGTATGATTCAGATTCAACAAGAGTGAAACTATTGTCTTGAACTCTATCTCAGACATCAGACCCGCACACAACCTTTTCTTAAGGTGTATTCTAATAGCCCATGCTTTAATGGCCCTGCCCGTGTATCCCAGTTTAGTGAAGGCTCTAGGAATTCTGCCTCGCAATTCCATAGGAACCGACCCAAGTTCCACAATCACAAATATGAGTCTATCAAGAGTACTCCTGTAGCCTAGGTACTCTCTCATATAGAGTATAGATCTTATTAAGAGCTTTTATCATCTCATCCTCTTATTACTTCAGGATTCATGCTTTACTTGCATGATCATCTCATATTACTCATAACTTGTTATTACCCATTGAACCTATTTCTTGGGATCTCCAGTCATCTAGGTCGGGTTACCATTATGAGTAACTCATTTCTTTATAGGCATTAGTCCCATCTTCTTGGATGTATTATGGACTTTCTCTCTAGCTAATCCTTTCGTCAAAGGATATGCTAAGTTTTTATCAGTGCGTATATGATCCACTCTTACAGCTCCTTTAGAGATACAGTCTCTAATAGTGTTGTGCTTTCTTCTTATTTGATGTCTTTTACCATTATAATAACGGTTCTCAATTTTTGTAATAGCCGCGGTACTATCGCAATGGATCAACACAGCTGGCATAGGTTTTTCCCATAAAGGGATATCAGCTAGTAAGCATCTCAACCAACTTGCTTCTTCACTAGCTGTGGCTAGTGCTATCATCTCAGATTCCATTATGGACTGAGCTAGGATAGTTTATTTCTTTTATTTCCAAGATACAGCTCCTCCAACTATACTAAATATATAGCCACTAGTAGCTTTGAAATCATCTGACAAAGTATTCAATCTGCATCATTGTACCCTTCTAGTACAGCAGGAAACTTCTGATAATGTAGGTCGAGATTCATGGTCCTTTTAAGGTACCTCATGACTCGTTCAATAGCTTTCTAGTTCCCTTTACTCGGTCTACTCGTAAACCTGCATAACAATCCTACGACATATGCAATGTCGGGTCTAGTACAATCAGTAGCATACCTAAGACTGCCAATGATGCTCGCATATTCTGATTGTCTAACACTTTCTCCAACGTTCTTAAACAGTTTCACACTTGGATCATATGGTGTGCATGCAGGTTTACATTCAAAGTAATTATATTTCTTTAAGATCTTCTCCACATAGTGTGATTCATCCAAAGAAATTCCTTGTTCGGATCTCGTGATCTTGATACCAAGGATCACACTTGCTTCTCTAAGGTTTTTCATATCAAAGTTGTTGCACAATAGTGATTTCACATCATTAATGGTCTGAATGTTTGATCCAAATATGAGTAGATCGTCTACATAAAGACATATGATAGTGCATATTCGATTCTTAGACTTATACTAAATGCATTTGTCACTTTCATTCACCTTGTACCCATTTGATATCATTAAGTTATCAAATTTTTCATGCCATTGCTTAGGAGCTTGTTTTAGTCCATACAAAGACTTATTTAACTTACAGACCTTGTTTTCTTGTCCATAGATCACAAACCCTTCCGGTTGTTCCATATAGATTTCTTCTTCTAAGTCACCATTTAAAAAAGCTGTTTTAACATCCATTTGGTGTACTATTAAGTTATAAATAGCAGCTATTGAAATAAGTACCCTAGTGGATGTAATTCTAGTGACAGGAGAAAAGGTGTCGAAGAAATCTATATTTTCTCTTTGTCTAAAACCCTTGGCAACAAGGCGAGCCTTGTATTTATCAATAGTTTCATCAGGTTTTAGTTTCTTTTTCAAAACCCATTTAAAACCAATTGGTTTGCAACCAGGAGGCAAGTCTACTAAGTTCCAGGTCTTGTTGGATTCTAGAGATTCTATCTCATCATTGATAGCTTCTTGCCATAAATCAGCATCCAGAGATGACAAGGATTCTTGAAGATTCATTGGATCTTCTTCTACATTATAAGCGGCATAATCAGGCCCATAGTCTTTAGTGACTCTTACTCGTTTACTTCGTTGAAGTTCTGTTTCTATATTGTTGTTGCTTTCTGTGCTTCTTATCACAGGAATGTGACTGGATTGTGTGCCCCCACTATTTCTCAATTTGAAAGGAAATTTGTCTTCATAGAATTAACCTTCATTTGATTCTATGATCACTGATCTGACCTGATCAGAATTGGACCGTCACGGCTGGCTCCGAGCTGAAAGTTTTTGAACGAGGTGGGGGGGGGGGGGGGTACCTGCAAGACACTCCGATGCTGAAGTAAGTAGAAGCACGAGCAGGCAATAGTAAGTATGGGTAGAATGATGAATACCTGACCCTCTGGAAACAGAGGGTATTTATAGCCCCCAGCGCTGGGCCAAGGTTCCTTCCTTGGGCCGGGCAGGTTTGGCCCAATGGAGGAACTGCCAGGTTCTACGTGCGTAATGGGGACTCGCACGTGGTTCCCTTCCTGGATGTTCTGCGTGAAGTGCGGGCGGACGGAGACGCGGTCTTTTCGGGGTCTCGTTGGGAGTGCAGTGGACTGGGTCTGCCTTAGTTGGGGTGCTCAAGGTGATGTCGAGCTGGACAGCAGGATGTCGAGCTGGAGATGTAGAGGTCGAGCAAGTGACCTCAGGGAGCACGTCGGGCACGATTGTGACCCTTTGGTCGGCGTGGTCCTCAGCAAGTCCATTTGGATTGGGCCTTAGCAATGCTATTGGGCCTGTCGGGCCCAGTCCAGAACAGGAGCCCCCCAAGTCGTGGTTCCTTTGTTAGGAGCCATGGCTTGAACTCAGGTCGTTTCCGCTTCGGGGTCTCGCGCCCGGGTCAGAGATGCAGGCCCTCGAGGGCCTCTCCGTGTCGTGCTCGGACACATCTTTCGCGGTGGATGCTCGGAGGATCCTCACCGGCGCGTGTCTGTCGAGCACACGAGGTATCTTTCAGGAACTGTGCCGCCACCCTATGATGATAGGGTCATCATTGCGTTGGGAGCAGTGCGTCGAGGAGAGAAACTCCGTGGTTGCCCGAGGTGACGTTTGGTATTCCACGTCATCACTATAAATAGGAACCTTGGGCCCCATAACACGTTTCTACTCTTTGCGCTCCTACTGCTGCTGTTCTTCCAGATTTTTCATAGCTGCGATCTCCGTTACAGATTCTTTTCCTCCATAGCCGAATCCACTTCTTGATTCAAGTAAGTGACTTATCTTCTTTATTTTCCTGTTGTAATGCATGATTTTCAGCGTTGTTAGACGTTTTAGGGACTGTGCGCGTGGGACTAGCCCGGTAAACTCATGTTTAGCTCGACATATTCATGCTTAGGACCGGCAAACACATGCTCGTGGCCGGTAGATACATAGTTTAGGTAATAATCTGCAGCGCTGCCCGGGGTCTTCATGATCCAGGGTGCCTGATTCATGGTCGTGCCCGGCATGTTCATGGTTCTGGCCGTAGGTTTCATGATGTTGCTCGCCATGTTCATACCTTGGGTCGGCATGTTGGAGAGTGACCGCGTTGTCGGTTTGCTCAGGCGGTTTGGAGAAGGGCCCATCGAGTTATCTGGACGTCGGGGAGGCGACTGCTTTCTTGTTGCAAACTAACTTTTGTGGTCGTGCATGGAACGACGTGGTTTGTCGTACACTACATCTGGTCCGTTACGTCGATCGTATGGTTTCGTGCCAAATTGACTGGTTTCCCGTGCTCTGCAGGTAACCATGGCGGACGAGCCGTGCTCCTCTGGACGCCACGAACATGAGGAACAAAGTGCCGATGAGGCGGTGAGCTTGGTTGATACTGTCGACGACCCTTTGTTGGATTGGGTGGGTGCCGAGCCCCGAGGAATCGCGTCGAAATATAGCCGGCGTGACCGAAAGCCATATGCTGTCCTCGAAGCGGGCCAGGGCCAGCCTGATTTCCAAAAGAATTTCGTTGTCACGCGGCCGACCTCCCGTGCCCGGATCTGCTCGGTGTACCCAGAGTATAGCTTCCCGATGTACGAGATTGCGTTCAAAGATCTTGGGCTGCAGCTGCCCTTCAGTGACTTTCAGACCGGGGTCTTCGCCCATCTGGAGCTGGCCCCGTCGCAGCTACACCCGAACTCACTCGCCTTTATCCGGGCGTTTGAGCTGACATGTCGCTTTCTGAGGATTGGGGCGACGATACCTCTCTTCTTCAGAATTTTTCATCTGCAGCGCCAGTCCCGAGGAGGGAAACACAGCTGGGTCTCCTTAAAACAGTCGAGGAGACTATTCAAGATGTACATGGACTCCGTAAGGGGTTTTAAAGACAAGTGGTACATCGTGAGGCCAGTTACCACGTCTGCTTTAGGATCCCTGTACGAGGAGGAGACGCCCATAAGCGATGATAACTGGGAGGCGATCTTAGACAACGATGGGTATCCCGTGATGGCCCGCACAGCCAAGTTCCCTGTGCATTGGATGTTCAGGCATTACGAGCACGGGACTGGATACTATCATACCGCTGCGGGCGACATGTGTCCGGAGGACGAGGAGGCGTATGCCACTCTTTTTCGGTTCGTCGACAGCTTCCACCCCGCCCGGTGGGCCACGAGGGAAGGGGAAGATGTCTTGGATGCAGAGGGTTATCCGACATTTGAGTCCCGGCTGATTGATACTAAGGCACTCGTGGAGTGTCAGACGTTCAGA